TACACTCACCGGCCACTTTATTAGGTACACCTGTCCAACTGCTCGTTAACACTTAATTTCTAAGCAGCCAATCACATGGCGGCAACTCAGTGCATTTAGGCATGTAGACATGGTCAAGACAATCTCCTGAAGTTCAAACCGAGCATCAGTATGGGGAAGAAAGTTGATTTGAGTGACTTTGAACGTGGCATGATTGTTGGTGCCAGAAGGGCTGGTCTGAGTATTTCAGAAACTGCTAATCTACTGGGATTTTCACGCACAACCATCTCTAGGGTTTACAGAGAATGGTCCGAAAAAGAAAAAATATCCAGTGAGCGGCAGTTCTGTGGGCGGAAATGCCTTGTTGATGCCAGAGGTCAGAGGAGAATGGCCAGACTGGTTCGAGCTGATAGAAGGGCAACAGTGACTGAAATAACCACTCGTTACAACCGAGGTATGCAGCAAAGCATTTGTGAAGCCACAACACGCACAACCTTGAGGCGGATGGGCTACAACAGCAGAAGACTCCACCGGGTACCACTCATCTCCACTACAAATAGGAAAAAGAGGCTACAATTTGCAAGAGCTCACCAAAATTGAACAGTTGAAGACTGGAAAAATGTTGCCTGGTCTGATGAGTCTCGATTTCTGTTGAGACATTCAGATGTTAGAGTCAGAATTTGGCGTAAACAGAATGAGAACATGAAACCATCATGCCTTGTTACCACTGTGCAGGCTGGTGGTGGTGGTGTAATGGTGTGGGGGATGTTTTCCTGGCACACTTTAGGCCCCTTAGTGCCAATTGGGCATCGTTTAAATGCCACGGCCTACCTGAGCATTGTTTCTGACCATGTCCATCCCTTTATGGCCACCATGTACCCATCCTCTGATGGCTACTTCCACCATGTCACAAAGCTCTAATCATTTCAAATTGGTTTCTTGAACATGACAATGAGTTCACTGTACTAAAATGGCCTCCACAGTCACCAGATCTCAACCCAATAGAGCATCTTTGGGATGTGGTGGAACGGGAGATTCGCATCATGGATGTGCAGCCGACAAATCTGCGGCAACTGTGTGATGCCATCATGTCAATATGGACCAAACTCCCTGAGGAATGCTTCCAGCACCTTGTTGAATCTATGCCACGAAGAATTGAGGCAGTTCTGAAGGCAAAAGGGGGTCCAACCCGTTACTAGCATGGGGTACCTAATAAAGTGGCCGGTGAGTGTATATATATATATATATATATATATATATATATATATATATATATATATATATATATATATATATATATATATATATATGTATGTATGTATGTATATATATATATATATATATATATATATATATATATATATATAATTAAATCGCAATTTTAACCAGAAAAATCTACAAGCATGCCCAAACTCGTGCAGCCATATAGTTTCTCTTGATATCAGCATGTTCAAAGGTGTTTATTTATTTTATTTTATTTTTTACAGGGACGATATGCCACTGATGAGTCCTGCTGACTTCAACATTCAAGAGTCTCTGTACATGAACATGGTAAAATGAAAAATCAAACACCGTGGAAATGACAGGTATGTACTATGTTTCAGGAATGGGTAATGTTGTGTGACTGTTCAAGCCTCTATCTTTAGATCAGTATGTTTACTAATGTGCTTTTTTGTCCTTTGTTGTGTATCTTTGGATTATGTTGTGTTGTAAATAAATCCAAATAATCTAAAAGCCATTCTTTTTTAAATCTCCTCATTCTTTGTGCAAGGCTCCTCGTAATGATAGGGCCTGATAGCACCTAATAGGGCCATTATGGGAGGGTCTTTGTCTTTCTCAGGTGTGAAATGCCATACATATTAATGAGAGATCACGCCTCCTCGCATAAAGCTTTCTCAAACAAAACACGTCATACACATTCTAAAAGACTGTATTGACTTATCTGAATGAGTAGTCAGGATGATTCTCACATAGTTTTGGAGCAAATATTCTAGGCTATGTGATACAATTTTCAAAAGTCTTGTGAATAAATAATCAATATGTGTTTTGTGGCCTTATTTCAGAAACTTTAATGTTTAGTTTTTTCAATAACCATGCATAAACAATATTCTCTCAAAAATACAAATATGTACTCACATATTATGGTAGCCCTGTTTGTGCTAAATAGAGTGTAATTACACCTGTGCCATTAATATGTTTATAAGCAACTGAAAAAAGCACAAATGTCAGGGCATGTCAAAACATCTCAAGGACCCCAAAAACACCCAGAGGGTTAATGATCAATATTATAATTATATTATATATTTTTTTTCATATTGTCTATATTATTCTGCAATTGATATTACATTGTATTTGCTGTTCTTATTATTGTAATATTATACCACTTGCAATTATCAATATATTACAGCTATGCTGTTAAATTATTGTACTATTCATAGTCACCATTTAACTTATTTTTTTTATTGTCTATACTGTAATTGATATTTCTTATTCCATTGCTATTATTATAGTATTATACATAAACTATATGCTATTATCAATATTTGTATTATTATATTATGTACTTATGATATTATTATAATTATTATAATATTATTATTATTATAATAATATTATATAATTATACTATTCATTACTATTTTATTTGACATATACTGTTTGTTTGTTTATTTTATTGACTAAACTATTTACTATTACTTCTCACTTTATCTTATATTTACTATTTGTATGTATTACCATAAAGGATCCATTAGTTATCTTTGTTATTGCTAAAATTGGGTCAATCACAGAAAATGCTTTTTCCACAATAAGAAAACTTTATTTAATTTAATGTAAAAATTATATCTTCACAATTCTTATCCAAGAATAAAAAGCCAGATAGCCTACATGACAAGCCTGAGCTTTGACAATTCCTTATTAAAAAAAATGTTTTATAATTCTAACTATCGAGATTTTAAATAACTAGAGATGGAACTTTTTGTACACCACGTACAAACCACTGAAATCAGTTGATAAATGTATTTTATTTTTTATCCAGAAAAACTGCAGCTCACCGTGTACTTGCATTTGATTACAGTGCAGTCTTGCCCTCCGCAAAATGCCGGACGTGTTAACGTATCGCAGCAACGTTCCAAAGCGCCCAATAGGGCGTCTATGAATTTATTATGTCTATGTTGGTGAGAGTTTCATCGTGTTGACTATCGTAACCGAACGCGAAAAAGCTGTTTGAATGCTGAATGGAGAATGACTGGCAGCCGCAGCGGAGGGAAAAGTTTACGTGATCTTGAATTTAATGACTTAAATATTAATTTCTATCTCACATTATACTATATAATGGCTTCAGAACACTTATAATATAGTGCACGGAAACTTTATGGTGCTTTAGAATGTTTTTGTGCCTTTTGTGGGGGTTAAAGGGACACTATGCAGCTTTTTTAGCTTAACTGAACAGCTTCAGAGTTATTGAAATGGTTATATAACTTCTTTCGAGTTGAATGGTGGGCGTCTCGACCCCCCCTGGTGCCTGTGAGCGAAAAAATCTCACTTGCAACTTCGGTGCGGCGGGCCGCCGAGCTCAGTGTCAGGAAGTATTGCATGATATCAGCTCTCGCGATGTAACATATTCCTTTACGGCAACTGCACACATACACACAGGAACAATGTATAGAGGGATGGAGTTTGTCACACTATCGTCATGGATGAGCCGGCATATAAGATGCAGAAAGCTAGGAAAGCATTGTCGGAGGAACAGAGAAAGAGGAAACGGCAGACTGACCGAGCGAGCGAGGAGTCGGACACGAGCATAGGCATAATTTGCGGGTGTGTTATGTCCCCATTGAAACCTCTCGCGGCACGGATGTACCATTACAAACAAATAAAACATCTCCAGGTAACTCTAGTAGAGCATTCATTTCGTTCGTTTGTTAAATAAGAGGCGATCTGAAATGTGTTATTTTTGAAATCAAGTGACCAAAGTGCTCGTTGCCTCTGCAATCAGTGGTGCAGATAAGTTACAGTGTTCTGTTGTGACGCACGCACTGTCTTTACCATAGACTGCACACGGATGCGCGCCTGAATCCGTTGCGGGGACTGAGAGACTCTCTATATATTGTTATGGTGAAATCACAAAACCTAATGCACAAAAAACATGTCCCTGCTTGAAATACAACCACTAATAAACAATCGGTTTTGATGAGGAAAATAAACTATACTACTAGTACCGATTAGAACCCAGAACCTCTGACACACTTGGCAAAAGTTCTGCCTCTGGACCATTAAAGTTCATGGGGATAATTGTCGGATCTATGTATTTAATCACGTGAAAATTCTCACCACAAACAACATATATTATATCTCATTAAACGACAAATTAAACACAATGTACTATTGTATACTATGTAATAGGCCATGTCACGCTCTGAGTGAGTGGTATTTACGACAGTAACGTTAAATTCAAGTACTCCACAGCAACTCTAGGGGTCGCTGTTTGACAAAAACAGGATTCCTGCATAATGCCCCTTTAACAATAACACAGAATAGTATACGCACAATATCGGATTTGGATCGGCCTTGGCTGATCGATACCCGATCCGGCAAAAATGGCAGTATCGGATCGGTGCATCCCTAATTTAAATACGCCAATTAAAAAAATATTGCGAGATACAAACTTGGATACATTAGAGGTCATGGTGCAAAGTACCCGAGGTTGAAATTTGTGAGAACGAGATTTTTAAAGCTTACAGGCTTCCGTACATCCTCCGCCCACAATGGCTTCTGGGATTTTTTTAGGGTTTGATTCTATTAAGTCTGCACTTGATGCATCCTTGATAACAAGAACACATCCAGGTACTATTATGCGTCCTCTGTACTTGCGTTCTTGACTATTGGAAAGGGACTTTGACGGTTGAAGATGGCTTAGTACGAGAACACAAGGACACAAGAAACGGCCCTTGTGATTGTAATTTAAGCACATATGGCGTAGTGTCAGGAAAATATAAAAAGGATTCCATTTGGTTTTGTACCTTGCAGAGGAAGCTGATGTTGAAGCCGAATGTTTGAGCATTTCTGGAGCCAGCGTTCATGTAATTCCCGACCAGCAGCACCATCTCCAAGAGCATGCTGAAACCTTCGCTCTTCTTTACCTCCTCACAGGCGAATGTCACGTTCATGATATCCGGCCGGATATTGTTCACCTGCTCCTCGAACGTCAGCTTGAACAGGATCCCGTTTAGTCGCGGACGCAGCATCTTGACTGAGCTCATCTGAAATGGAGAAAAAACAACTTAAACTTACACACCCTCAGTTATCACAACACATACATGAGTATTACTTCTGGAATATGAAATATTTCAGAATGAAACCAGTTGTTCTATATGTTTTAGGACTAAATAGTTATGTAGCTATTGGTTAGAATTTTCAAAAGGACTGAATGGCCTAAAGTGGAAAAGGAACAGCACATTTAGAGTAAAGATTACTAAACCTCTTTTTCCCACTTAAAATACAGCACACTTGATGAATCATTCACAATAAAACCATAAAGAAGGTTAAATATATCTGAGCCATGGCACAGTGGCAAAAAATACCATAAATAAAATTAAGTATTTACCAGCACAATTGTGTTAACGCTGTAAACAGAAATTTTGCAACAAATCTTGTATGAATAAATGTCAGATTCTGCTGTTCACCTATAATTACATTTAACCGTAATAACAGCAACAATATAACTGTTTCTGGTGCTGGAGTGAGATGACATTTCAGTTAAAAGACAGCAAGGAGGAGGAGGAGGAGGAGAGGAAGGAACAAGGAGACAAAAACAACAACATGAATCCTACAGGAGCTGCTCGTTGAGGAGGGCGACCTCAGACACTCTTGCTCCAGATTTCTGCATAATCTGATGCTCGCAGGCAGCCCAGAGATGCAGTCAGGATGTACCATTACCGCTCACATTTATTCATCTTTATGAGCAAGTTGACGATCAAAAAACCCAGAATCGGCCTCACACCCCCAGTGTACCGCCCCACCCCACCTCCTCCCTGCACATCCAGATTTGATTTCTCTGTATAAGAGGAAATCACAATAAAAGAGGGTGAGTTGGTGACAGCTCTGGAGGGAGACGAGCTGAGAGTGACTTATTTCCCAAAGGAGCAGTGCAAGGTGGTGTTGATGAGGTGCTTCCACAGGCTGCCTGTATATTACCCGCCTTGAACGCAGTCACAGGAGGAGACTGTCACAACGTGCTTCATTACGCTCTCCAAAGACACAGGTAGTGAAAGACAAAACACAGAGCGAGAGCTAGAAGGTTGTTCTGTTACCCTGCACTGAATTGAATCCTGTGTGAATCTGCTGTCACCAGCAGGTTTGTCAGAAGCGCCATAATATCAGTGAAGGAATGCATATGCATCAACCTAGATAGATCTGTGCATGACATGACTACATCTGACTACAACTGTAAGGAAGAGTTGCTATGTAAAAGAAAAATGATTTGGAGTGCTTAAGGAATCGTTCACCCCAAAAAATGGAAATTCTGTCATTTGTTCACACTCATGTTATACCAAACACATCTGATGAAAAAAAAAAGTGAGATATTAGGCAGAGTGCTCTTGTCTTGTTCTTGAGGCTGCATCAGCTCCAAATACATAAACTTAGCTGAATGCAAAAATGTTGATTTATTAGTTTTATTTTATTACATTTGTTTACAACTCACGGAAAACAAAATGGGCACCGGTTGTTATGACAACGACAAAGTTTATGCTGGCCACTTTTGATTACTGATTTAAATAAATAGTTGTATTTATATAGCACCTTTCTTAAAGTCACAGTCACTTAAAGACAATCCATTGATTAAATGGTAAATGGACTGCATTTATATAGAGCTTTCAACAGACCCATGGCTACCAGAGCGCTTTACATATTGTCTCACATTCACCCATTCATTCACTCATTCATACACCGACGGTGGTGTCAGCCATGCAAGGCGCCATCCAGCTCGTCGGGAGCAGCTGGGGTTAGGTGTCTTGCTCATGGACACCTCGACACTTGGTCAGGTGGAACCGGGGATGGAACCACCAACCTTCCGGTTTGTAGACCACCTACTGTACATGAACCACTGAGCCACTGCCGCCCACTGTATTAAGCTTATGGAAGAAAGAAAGCCATAGGTGTTTTTAACCACATAGGGTGATTAAATGATGGCAGAATTTTTCACTTTTGGGTTAACTATTACTTTATTCCAGGTGCGAGCCTCATCAAGTGAAGGCCTGTGCACTGGGCAGAACTAACCGATGTAGAGAGAAGCTTGAATATTTAAGACAAAGTCAAGACAAAGGCCAATGTTAATGAGATTTGGTCAATATAGGAATAGAGGAAGTCTGAAAGCCTTTCCAGTTTAAGAACTCGGGACCTAATCATACTCTGTAGTAAAATAAAGCTCTGGCTCACTCTTTATTATTCATCAAAATCATAGCTTCTGTCAGTCACAACCAGGCTACCAGATTTGACTTGTCATAAAAAATGCCCTTTATATTCTTGGTCTTTTAATTATACATTACTCAGTCTCTTTATATATTGAATAGCGCTGATCCTGCTTGGAGCCTGCAGGCAATCTTTCTCCTGCACACTCTCTCTCCGTCTATGCCTAATTTCCCGATGCCCCCCATTCTGCTTTTCAGCTCAAAATCCTTCACACGGAAGTAGAGAGCTATTGGTGTGAACAACAACAGAAATGGAAAGGAGGGTGATTTTAGTATCAGAGAGAGAAGAGGGAGTGGAGGAAAGAAACAGTCGGAAGTGGAACAGAGACGTGTGAAGGGTTATGCACTGGAGTGTGACGAAAGTAGAGGAGAAATGGTGAACCGGAGCCAAAAGAGAGAGAATGAAATAGAGGGGAAGAAAAGACTAAGAAAATGAGACGGATAAAATCGATAGGCAGCTGGAATGCTTTTTAGTGTGAGATAACCCTTTTTTACCAAATTATTGGTGCTGGTGTCAGGCCCAGTGTTTGGCTGTAGATGATAATTGTAGAGGTCAAGTTTTGTACCACATTTTGTTTGGCTTCTGATGTTGTTATTTCTTCAATTGAAAAGTGTACGGAATGATTCCAAGCTCCGGGTATGGCACCTGCACAGTGTCTCTGGAAAAGGCTGCCTTCCAGACTCAAACATTGACCAACAATGAAACATTTAGGAATTGTAGTGTTACAAATTTATTAAAATGTTTCATTTAGATTTCCAATACTATAGTATATAGAAGTTTATTAGTGTGGATTTTGTAACTAAGGTAAATGTCACAAACCTGCCTGTTCCTGTCTGTCCTGATCTTTCTATTGCAAGTTAAATTGATATCATCACCTTTTGTTTGTAAGTTCCCGTCTCAGTACCAGAAGTCCTGCCCTGTCCTGTTCTCGTGTCTCGGCTCATTTACATGCTTTGTTTCAGAGTTTCTCCCCCTCAATGTAAATCCCTCCCCCTAAAAATGTATAAAATTGCAATGTAAAGTTCCCTTAGTCAGACTTGACGATGACTGCAGCTACCAACAGCTCGTGTTTCTCAATAAAGAATCCTGCTGAAGATACAACCAAGTCTCCTGGTCTTTGCTTCTGAGTTTTCAAACACTTTAGAAGAAATAAGTTCACAACAGAATCGAATTACTTTTTAAGTCGTTAAATTACAAAATTGCTCAAAACAGATGGTTGTTCGTCATCCATATTCATATATGTATTGGCCATTGGAAGCAAAATATCAGAAATGGTAGTTGCAGTATAGATATAGCTGTAATACCATAGATGTCTACTGTACATAATCATGCCCTATATACATACATATGAGTCGATACACAGGAGTGTTTCTATTTTTTAAATAGATTGAATATAAAATTAACTTCTTTTTTTTTTATTCTGTTATATAAATTAGGGTGTTTTTCTAAATCATTTTGTGTTTCGATTTCAAGTTCCTCTAATTATCCAGAACAGTATTTTTGCCACATAGATATATCACTTTGTAACAGTATTTCTGCTTTTTTGGGGAGAACAAAAGTCGAGCGAAACTTTGACTTGATTATGGTTCAAACAAAACACCCACCTCATTGCACCCACCCACCACAACTGGAATTATATGTATTGCATCACAGCTCTACTGTGAATCCTTATTGTTAACAACTCTTTCATATGAACAACCAGTTTCACAAACATAAACACACAGCACTGATTCTTAATAGATTTTTAGCCTTACATGACAGAAAATCTATCAGTTCAACGAGAGATAAATGCAACTGATACTTAAAAAAGGGGGAAAAAATAAAGAAAAGGTTTGTCTTATTTGTAAACACTTTAGTCTGGGAACTGATTAAATTTTTTTGTCTAATATTAATAATAATACATATATTGAATATTCATATTTTACATTTTGTCTCATTTGTAAACATTTAGTCTGGAGCTCTGAAATGTGTGAAAGTCTCCTGGAGCTATTCTAGTGATTTTAGGAACAATCTTAGTACTCACCACAATTCCAAACTGTTCTGATTCACAAAGCTCCTCATATTCGTTTTTCAGCTCTGCCAGATTGCTCAGCTCCTTCTGCTCAGGCAGGTTTTTGATCAAGTTCTGCAAAAAAAAAGAAATAGAAAACGTACAAACACACCCATCAGTACCACAGGAGAAAACACCTGCTGCCAGCTAATTTGGTGAACTAATCGCAGGAATGTGAGAGATGGTAGACGGTGGAGTATGGTTTAAATGAGGCCATAGCTTTACATGCTATTGTGCCTTAAGCTGGCGGTCTGAATCACACTTGTGATTCACATAGAGACTCCCTAATGTTCACATCTTTCCCTATTCCTGCACACTGCCAATCTCAGATTGGGCTTTAAAAATCTATAGAAGCTCAATTCAAGGGGAAATATTAATGCTGATCTTGACTCCATCTTGTTTTCTTCAGCTTCTTAACAAGTTGGGACTAGATAGAGCCAACACTCTCCAAAGAAAATCTGCCATGCATTACTCTTGGAGCTCAGCCGAGGTCAAAGTTTTACAGTGCTGAGCACTTGACGTTCAAGGTGACTATGAGAAATAAGGGAATAAATACCACCCCCACGCCCACATAATTTAAGATGTCACTGAAATGTCCCTGATATTTATGGCTTTCTTTTCTTTTCAGACAATTCGGGATGGAGGGCATCTTTGAGCCAAATTTGCCACTAAAAATTTGCCACTTTACCGATGTCAGGAACTCCATTGCCTTCCTTTACACCCCAAAAATGTGTCATATTGCTCGTACAACTTTGCAATTACCTCTAAGAGTAAAAGCACGCTGTAGGTGATGTGGGCGAGTGAGAGAACCTTCATTTTCTCTAAATGCTAATTGTGCTCATAAAGGTCAGCTGAGTAAATGAAAAGAAGCATGGCAACTTTTTTTCACCAAAGAAGAGGTGCCCTTTCCATTGGTAGACTTCCTCTCTCATTATGTCTTCTAATTTGGTTGGCATAATCACACATACCCAATCCTGCTGGGTTGCCAGCATATTACAAGCTCCAGCTGATGTGAGGGCTGGCATGTGTGTCGTATCTCCAATATACTGTAAATACACAACTGAAATATTAACAACAACTGCCTTTCTTGACCTTCCCGTTGGAAGCATGGCCTAATCCTAGTTAAATGCTTTTATGTGGTCTCTCTCTGAAATTACTTCAAATGTCGTGCTGACAATAATAAGCCTGATGCAACACAAAGCCAATGCACTGACACCTGGATATTGAACAAAATAAAGAGTATCTAGTGCTGAGAGATTTTGATGAACTTTACTCAAATTAATAATGGATAAGAATCTCTCACATACAAAGGAATGTTCAGAAAGCAGTATGATAAATAAAAATGTGATATTACTATAAACTACACCTTTAAACTCCAGTAAGTTTGGTAGTATGCTCAATAGTAAACACAGACAGCATTGTAGATTTTCTTTTTCCTTTTCTCCTTAAGACATATGCTTGCTTTTGATGAGATAATCATTAGCTTTGTTCTTTCTGGAATAGATGAATATATGCATAAGCACAACACTTTTTAAGGATGCCTAACACATCCACTTTCCCTAGTTCAAAGCAAACCTAGACTAAAATTAAAATGTGTCAGAAGCCTATAATTGTCTGGACAACGAGATAAAACTGACGGTTGACTCCATCATCTCAGATGTTAAATTAAATAAATGTGTTGAGAGGCTTTGAGATGTTTCAGAAAAAGCCTGCAATCGAGCAGCAAAGATCAGCCACGTTAGGGGGAGGGATTACGGTAAAACCGCCTTTCTCTCGTCTGAAAGAGTGTGTGGAACATTAGCCCGGCGGTTCGGCTGAGGAACAAAGCTCCCCTAAACAATGTATCATTGATTTTGAATGAAGCACAACAACACAGCAGCACACCATTCAGCCACAGCAATCATCATTGCTAATGTGCCGCCAAATCTCATTATTGGAGTTGTATTTCTCCATCGCCACTCTCAGAGACGAGACAAGCGATTAGGGTTCGCCGTTGCCTCCTTTCCAAAGGCATCTATAGGACAACCCGCCAAATGGAGCAGAGACAGAGGGAAGATGTAACAAATGGGGCTAAAGTGACAGGAGAGAAAACGCTGTTAATTGCTAATACGCTCGTCTATGGTTAACATAATTATCAGAGTCCCGCATATTGAGGAAATGACACGCAAGCAGAGCCATATGGGAGGGTTGGTAAGGGGCGGTTGAACCCTGAATGAATCAGTCTGCTCTCTCCAGGCCTACAGACTCAATCTGCATCTGGGAGGGGGGTTTGCAGAGCATGGGCCCTATAGCAGACAAGACATGCTATGCTAATAATCCAGCCATTTGGACTCTCTCTGCAGGACCAGATACATGCATGCGGTCACGCTTTATTCTTCAAGACACTGCTCATCTCAATGTCATTTCAGACTTCATGACCTTATTTACTTCCTTAATTCATGTTCCTGATCTTAGTTTAAGAGATTCATCTGTGCAGGTTATTACTAAGGTTTAAAAAAAAGTTTGGTTTTGTAATCTTTAACTTTTCTTCCTCTAAAACAAATGTCTTTTCCAAATGATATTTTCACATAGGATAATGTTAACCAATAGCTAAACAGCTTTTTAGCTATTTATTTAATTAATTAAATGAATAAATGATTTAAATGCTTTTATTATTAAATTAATACAATTATTTCAACTCATACTTGGTATGCATTCATTCTGTTATGTAGGATAGGATGGATGGATAGAATTTGCACTGACTGAGCACTGCTATAGTGCCTGGGAAGACTGTAATTTCAATGTTGAGTGAAACACCGGAATTAAGGTGCAATTACTTGTGCTTTGGTACGTTTCCATGTAACTGTTAAAACGAGGAGAGTCTGTAAGTGTAATGACTGCCAAGTTCTTAAATGATACAGGAATTAATCCAGTGTTGGAAGAGGATACAGAGAAGGAAAGCAGGACAGAGAAGGCTCAGAATAAGAAAACATTTTGACTGAATGAAAATATCTGAGGTTTCCAGTATACTTTGATCTCTGATGTTGACATTTTCCGATCACACACTCAACCGATGCCAATTTAATAATTTTAAGTCTTCAGTCAGAACAGAGACTCTGGATATGTTCAGATTAGCATACTTCCACACTAGTCTTACTAGTTTTGCTATATAGAGTATGAGTATGAATGCTTAAATGTCCCTGAAGACATTTGCCGAAACCAGCAATGCACTGCACAGAACACTTTATCTCACAATGCTACCTTCCATTTCCAATGTGATAAATGAACACTTTTTTAAAAATGTTCCTGCCAAAAGTTAAGACATGTTTTATACAAAATTGGATAAAAAAAAGTAGGAATGCACCAATATCTAAATTCAACAATAAGCCAATAATTATTGTGATGCCATGGCCAATAAACAAATAAATATAATATTACTTCTCACAATATTATTGGAGGTATGAAAGATATATTTTCATTTCAAAATCTGCAAAATATTACAGTGTTGTTGCTATTTTATTTAAGAGTGTTAGTTTTAGTAAAAATGAACTGATGTGAAAAATGAACATTAGATGATGGCAAATGTAGTTTAAAAGTAAAAATAGGGGAAATGAGCATACACAATTTAATAGTCAATATTAAACAACACATTTAAATGAAAAAGTCAGCCAATATCAGTAATAATAAATAGTATGATATATTATTGTCACGGGTGTGTGCGGGTTGAAGAAGACGATGGTCGACAGGTTCCAATTCAAACATAGATTTATTCCATTTCCAGGATCAGGTTAAGGCATACACAAAGCATACACACAAAGGTGACGTATAAACAAAGACCGACAAGGAATGACTGAACAGAGGGAACTAAATACACAAACCAATGAACACTAATTATGTGCAAACAGGTGAGACAGATGATGACGAGGAAATGAGGGAGTGAGATCAGGTGTGGAGACAAGAGGGATTCTGGGAGATGTAGTGCAAACAAGACAGAACAGTGCAGACGAAGACTGTGACATAACGCCCCCCTCAAATAGGCGCGACCTCGCGCCGTATAACATCAATAGGGGTGGGCGCCCTGGAGGCTGACGAGGGCGTGGCTTGTAGAAGTCCAACGCCTCCAGGGCGGAGCAGCAGGTGCAGGCGGACAGGATGGAGAAGACCCCTCGGGCGTCCAGGGCGGAGCTGTCGGACCCTCGGGCGTCCAGGGCGGAGCTGTCGGACCCTCGGGCGTCCAGGGTGGCGAAGACCCCTCGGGCGGCCATGGCGGAGAGACCCCTTTGGGTGGCCATGGCGGAGAGACCCCTTCGGGTGGCCATGGCGGAGAGACCCCTTCGGGTGGCCATGGCGGAGAGACCCCTTCGGGTGGCCATGGCGGAGAGACCCCTTCGGGCGGCCATGGCGGAGAGACCCCTTCGGGCGGCCATGGCGGAGACCTATGGCCCCCCCCCAAAAAAAATTATTGGGGAAAGTGACTGGATGAAGGACAGGCTCTGGGACAGTCTCTGGCTGGGCAAACGGGACGTGAACAGTCTCTGGCTGGGCAGACGGGACGTGAACAGTCTCTGGCTGGGCAGATGGGACGTGAACAGTCTCTGGCTGGGCAGGCGGTGAGGGCTCTTTGCTGGACGGGACCAGTGGCGAAGGTTTTGACATGGGCAGGACCAGCGGTGAAGAGGGCTTTGAGCTGGGCGGAACCAGCGGTGAAGTGGGCTTTGAGCTGGGCGGAACCAGCGGTGAAGAGAGCTCTGAGCTGGGCAGGACCAGCGACGAAAAGGGCTCTGAGCTGGACAGGACCAGCGGCGAAGAGGGCTTAGAGCTGGACAGGACCAGCGGCGAAGAGGGCTTTGAGGTGGACAGGACCAGCGGCGAAGACGGCTCTGGGCTGGACAGGACCAGCGGCGAAGACGGCTCTGGGCTGGACAGGACCAGCGGCGAAGAGGGCTTTGAGCTGGACAGGACCAGCGGAGAAGAGAGCTCTGAGCTGGACAGGACCAGCGGCGAAGAGGGCTCTGAGCTGGACAGGACCAGCGGCGAAGAGGGCTCTGAGCTGGACAGGACCAGCGGCGAAGAGGACTTTGAGCTGGACAGGACCA